ATGATTTGTATCACCCAGTAATAAATAAATAAATGAATAAATAAATGAAAAGAAATCGGACTAAATTAAAATCCGATCATTATTTCATTACATAATGTATTACATTTAATAACGAGGAACAAATTTTTATTCGGGGTAGGGATTGAATCTAATTTTTTACAAAGTTTAATATTTATCAAATTGGTAAGATATTAATTCAAATTTTTTTTGTCTTTAGCTGTATATTCTTTTGAAATCAATTATAAAGGTTTAAATCTAATGAAATATAATAGGAGGATTGCTCTAATTATGTTCCAAACTAGCAATGCTAATCCCAGGATTTAAGTAAGCAATGGATATGGCGGTAATCTTAGAGGGTAGAAAAGGTGAACTACCGTGGATAACAGAGGTATGGATTTTTCTACTTGCTGGATTTTCATACCCGTCACTCGGTTTTAATGTTTTCATCAGGAGAGAGATCAACTTTTCACGGGAGATCTGTCGAGTAACAAATATCCTTAGAAAGTCTGGAATTCGTTGATAAAACATAAATTAGTGGTTTAGAATACTTCAGTATTAAAATATTATAAAGGAAGAAAAAAAGAAAAGTAAACAAAAAGTGGGATTACAACTTTTTCATTGGGTTGGGTGGTGGGGGTTATGAAGTGTCTATTTGTGTGTGCCTGTAGCGCTCAGATTGAATTTTTTTTGTTTTTTTTTTTTTTGTTTTTGTTTTTGTTTTTTGTTTTTGTTTTTTTTTTTTTTTTTGTTTTTTTTGTGAAGTTGCATGATTGTATTTGCTGTTTTGAATATAAGAAAAAAAAAACTATACTGATAAAGAACCTTTCATTGGGAGTTTCAGTAACTTGCAATCAACTCATTCGACAAGAAAAAAATAGTGAAAAGCAAGTGAAAAGGGGCCATTTAATTAAGGTTTTGGGTCCGAATCTCCCCTCCCCCAGCCCACACCTAGAAGGGAGTTAGGGGGAATTTCCAGAATCTGTTGGAAATTAAATGATGCCTAAAGCCTTTTTTAAAATAAATCACTTGAAACATATCATTGTAGCGTAGACCCCTAGTACAATGCTCATCTCTGAAATTAGTGCAAACAGCTGTTTAGTTATATTATGACGTCACATAAGTGACGCGATCATGATGCAAACATCAACATGCACATTTTCAAATACAAGTGTTGACAAACCTGACAGAAGTAAGTAGCATAACTTGAACATTGGAATAATCAATTTTAATTATGACCCAGAACAATACTTTAGAAAAACTGCGTGTTCGACTACGTATGGATCCAAAGGAGAGATTTCCAGAGAAACTATACGATGTAGCAAATGATGGTTATCTTGTTTCATGGAATGGCTGTGGAGATGGTGTTGTTGTGAACGAAAAGGAATTCGAAAGGAAAGTTATGAGATGTTATCCGGGTTTTGTACAAATATCGACTTTTGCTAACTTCAGGCGTTTGTTTAGAGAGTATGGCTTTGACTGGGAAATTATTGACCGTTCAGAAAAACATTCTTACACTTTCGAATTTTCTCATCAAAGCTTTCAGTATGGTCAGTATGATTTGTTGTGTAACATACAGACCCGACGTAAGTCGTTTAGTAAACCAGTGCGGGCATTGTCCAGTTTTCACAAAGATGTGGCTGAAATATCTGCTCTCTCCAGTAAAGAATCTGAGGAAAGACTAACAAGAACAAAAGTAGGACGAGTCAAACGAGTGAATTACGCAGACCTGGAGAAGACCAAAGAAATTAGACGTCGTTCCTTGTCGCCTGAGAACTTTAACTCAAATCCCGAGACAAAGTTAGCACATGGGTATAAAGCACCTGCTGATGACGTCATTGAATTTGAAGTGCAGGAACATCAGAGAAAATTCGAATTTGAATTACGTGCGAGAGACTTTGTAAAATTGTTTATAAAGAACGAATTTACATTTGATGAATTTTGTGTTTGGGCGGAACAGAACCAACATATTTTCTTTATTCAGGACAACATGGATAACATTGAATGTACAAGACCATGTGGACAATGTGCTTGTTGCAAGTCTATGATTTTTCAAACAAATCATTAGGACATAAAATTTCGTAAGATCCTGTACCATGCCTCAGTGCAAAGATTTTTTCTGTATATGTTTGTGTTCTTAAAGACAATATAAAAAGCTAAAAATAAAAAATGTTGCTATATTGTGAAACTTGTGACGAAGATCTAAATATTTCACAACCATGTCAGAACATAATTAAATAAAGTTACTTTGGTAATTAATCAGCTATGGCTAACTGCTTCAGACTTTTAATATGAAATTAACCTAGTAAAGGAGTTTTCAATCAATTCATGTATTTATTTGCATATTATGCATGCGCTGTGTCGCACTTCGTTTATTCATAGACCTGCTTTAGGTCTATGGTTTATTTAAGATTAGAAAGAATATATTAATTTTAAAATTTTCATCGGGATACAGATACGGGTTGGTCACGTCAAATTGCATAAAGCCCTCGGGAACAACCCTTATTTTTTTTTTTTTTTTTACATGGGTGTTGATAATATGTAACATTGTAAAGAAAAACTGCTCTGGTGGAGTAGTTAAAGCTGTCCATTTTTTTTTTCCTTCAGAAGATTTACATGTAAATGGTGATAGAAAGACATAAAATTAAATATTGGATAACATTTCATTTGTCAGTGTCTTCACAATAAATCTACAAGCAAACAGCATCTAATGTTGTTTAATAACTGAATGGTTACCCCTTTACAAATTAATTTTTGGATATTCTAACCACTTCTGATGTCATGTAATTAAATAAATAAGTTAGCATTATAATTTAACTAATAACAAAATATGGCTTTTATTTCAATGCGAACTTTCTAGTAAAAAAAGAGGGATAAAACCATTTAAAATGTGATAAAGAAAAAAACTTCCCATGTTTTGTGAGGGGAAAGAGAACACACAATATTAATACATAATATAAACTCTGAATACATACATGTAATAAAAACTCTTAATATAATGGATAAAAATCAAATTATATATATAATACTAGTATCACAGATGTAATAACATTACAGAACATTTAGGATCCACGGGCACTTGACGTATGGATGATGTACACACACACCCTTTTTTAAATTACTAGTATAACGTATCAAAAATACACGAATTCCTAGCCTATCATTCACACATTTATGATATTATTTACCATTATTGTTACGTTTTAGAGATTGTACCTCAACCGATATATAAAAATTAAATACTAGAAATAAGTATAATATATACCGGCAAAGGGGCATTCTCTAAAACGTAAGAAAAATGGGAAACTTAACATGTATGTCAATTTCAAATATTTTTTTTAAGCAGCTTCAAACCGTGTTATGTAGCTATCTAATAAGGGTCTGTCATCTTTATCATAATAATAAGGAAACGGATTAGTATAAGTTTTCAAACTTGTTTCCGAATCCTTTTTGATTTTTTTGTACTACGTATCTGTATCTTCTGCTTGTCATTTTCAAATAAAATATGGTTTAAACTAAAAATGGGAAACGGTATATATATATTTACATATCCAAATATTTTTCCTTAAGATTCGTTGCAAATTAGAAGACTGTTCATTTTCTCTTGAACTACCACGGAGGAGAATGAATATAACGCGCTTCATGAAATATGCCGGCGTGAAGCGTCGTAGTTCATGTCCTCATGAATCTTCAAAAATTAAATTCATTTCTTAAATATACTCGTATATATAGTTGTTTTATGCTACAGTTCATGTATATTCGAATTTTAGAACAATTCTCAAGGAGTGGGTGGGTCACCATTCATGTGTAAGGTGCCTGTGGGGGATTTTTTTTTTTTTTTATCTTTCAATGGTTAACTTAGAGTCTTTATCATTACTTTTTAATCTTAGATATCATTTCTGACTCTATTTCTTCTGTGAAATTAAAGAAACCTAATTAGTTTTGTTAAAAGCACTTGCTATAATATATTTTTCCGAAGTTGACTTAAAATGCAAAGAAAAAAAAAGACCCGGAAAATCCAAAGTCTGATATTGAAGGTGAATATTATTAAGGTCATATATGGTGTATTTTTGGCAAGTTCAGACTAACTAAAATTGAAAAGATCTTTTTATTTGTTTTATTACTTTATATAAAGACATGAATTTCCTGTAAATTGCACAATTTAAATCAATCGCGTTTCATAGATATTAGAAATTTAAAACAATAACCGATTTATTTACCGACTCCGCATTTAAATGAAAGACACTTTTAATGTCAATTTAATTATAGAAACGTGGGGTTATTCTTGTTCAAAATCGGCGAACATTTTAATTTGAACATAAACAACAAATATCATGTTCATTTACACTCAATTTCATATTTTTATTTTTATCTCACAATTGCCATATATAGCTTTAAAAACATAAAAATTCTTCTATAATGACATTTTTGGGGTCCTAAAGAAAATATTTTAACAAATGTAGCCCTCTCATTCGGTAATCCTTAAATACACATTGTATTCTCTGTTCTCGATTTGTATAATCTATAAGATTTCTGAGTTTGTTCACTTTTTTCATAGACTGACTTCACAGAAAAGCATTTCGACCTCGCAAAAATGCATGCTATAATTTTCAATTTGTACTGAAATGCTAAAATGCTTCTGAATAAATAAAACCCCATTTGATTTCTCTTGTAAATGTAGAATAGTGTCTTCAATCATTTAGAATTTAATAATTTAGAAATCGGGCAATTACATGTCATGATATTGCAGATATTAATCGTTAAATACTGTAAACAAGTAATTTTTTCCTGCATTATTTTATCACACTTGTGTAGGATTTTGCCACCACTTATTTTTTTCTTAAAAGAGAGATAACTCTGTTTCCCTACGAAAGACGAGGGCCAAAGGTGAAAAAATAAAACGGGAGCAACAATATTCCGTGTAAACAGTAGAGAGTGACATCATATTGACGCATAACCTTTTCCTTTGTTTTTACCTTGATGCTTTTTTTCATGTTTTGAAGGTGCTCAGTTTCCATTGGAGGATGACAACAAACGCACGCGCACAGCGTACACAAGAGGCCAGTTACTGGAGCTGGAGAAGGAGTTTCATTTTAACAAATACATTTCTCGACCGCGAAGAATAGAGTTGGCTGCAATGTTGAACCTTACTGAACGCCATATAAAAATTTGGTTTCAGAATAGACGAATGAAATGGAAAAAGGACGAGGCCAAACGAAGACCACGTCCTCTGAATTCTTCGAACATTAAAAATGCTGTTTCACCACCGGAATCTCCTGTCATGACAGATTTATCTCCCGTTTCGAATGGAAGTGACGTTTCGTCACCGAAAGAGAACGAAACAGGCGATATTTCCTCAGTAAACAAAAATGTGTTGAACAAAAACACTCTCTCATCGCCAAAGGAAGAATCCGCCACGTGATAATGGCGACACGGGGTATATGTATCAAATACAGTCCCTTGATATATTAATGGAAACTGATTTACATGTGTTCTAAACTTCTAATGTAATTTCATGTCTTTGACCTACACATGAACGCCCTTTATAGAAAAAGGTATCAATACATCCACAGAAGGCACATGAACGATGTTTCTACCAGCAAGTGTTTTATTGACTGTTGTTTATCGAGCATTGTGTTACTAAAGTTGGTTGTATTTTATTCTTGTCAATGTTGCTCCGTAAGAATATTTTTAAATATAAGTAAAGCTTACACTGAAGAGCTCCTTTACCGGTGTGACACAATGTGCTGTAGGGTCCCATATTTTTACAGACTTTAACAATGAAAGTATGTATACATGTTTACACAGTGTGAGTTGTTTTTCAGGTCATGTTACTTAAAAAAGAAACTGTTGTGAATATTTAATATACATCGACATCCGTGAATAAATTTTTTGTAGTCATGATCTTTTCAACATCGCATAATCACTCTCAATTTCAGCGATATGTCCATAAAATTATGAAAACATATTGAACATGTACAAATATATACCACTATTTAAATGAATCAAATCACAAAGAGAATAACGGTTTATGCATACTCATAGTGCGCTTCCTGAGTCAGTGGGTCATAGAATGACCATGCACGATGTACAATTTAGTTGATTCCATTATAAGTAAAGAATTTATAGCAGTTTTGACCATTACTTTTGGATCAACCCTCGCACATGTACAACAAGATGTAAACAAACTCTAATCCCACATGTACAACGAGATGTAAACAAACTCTAATCCCACATGTACAACGAGATGTAAACAAACTCTAATCCCACATGTACAACGAGATGTAAACAAACTCTAATCCCACATGTACAACGAGATGTAAACAAACTCTAATCCCACATGTACAACGAGATGTAAACAAACTCTAATCCCACATGTACAACGAGATGTAAACAAACTTTAATCCCACATGTACAACGAGATGTAAACAAACTCTAATCCCACTTGTACAACGAGATGTAAACAAACTCTAATCCCACATGTACAACGAGATGTAAACAAACTCTAATCCCACATGTACAACGAGATGTAAACAAACTCTAATCCCACATGTACAACGAGATGTAAACAAACTCTAATCCCACTTGACTTCAATTAAGCTTTTCTGATCGACTTTGTCCTTCACCTACATGTCATTCGGCTATCATTTTGAAAAGAAAATTAATTAGAACTTTAATTAAAATGCAAACATCCTTATGTAAAATGTACTGCTCATATCATGGCCTTGGGGGCTAGTTGGGGCCATGTAAGGGAATTGAAGTTTTACATGTACACGAAAATACACAGGGAAAACAACCAGAACTCTAAAAAAAAGGACAGCTTTCTTCTTATAATATGAAAGCATTCCCGCATAGTGTATAATTATCAAGTTTGTTCATACCCCCCTCCCCCCCCCCCCCCAATAACGTCCTATGTGCAGCGATAAGGGCTCATAATTACATAGGAAAACGTAGTATACTGTATAGGATTTTTTTTAAATATTTCCTTTCTTTCAAGAATAACAATGCCAAAGTAAGTGATATATAAATAATATGGAAACATCCCCCAGTAGAGCTAATTCAGATTTCTTCAACTTATGGTCTTCGGAGCCAAAGTTTTAGAAAGTTTTACACCGACATATGTACATGTACTATCCGATAATCGGAAGACCAACAACACTACTTCATGGAGTTTTAAATACGCTAAAGCAAGGGATACATCAAGCAGCATAGATGACATAGATGAGATACATCAAACATAAGACCATAAAGAATTAACTGTACACAGTAAAGAACTAAATATGATCGCGTTGGTCACAGATTGTGTGCTACAAGGAAATAGAAGTGACATCCTTTGGTAAAGGGAAACAATCTGCTCTTTAGGATGTTCATTGGTTGACGATTTAATCACCAGCTTCCGCGTACGACAGGTATTTTATCATGGCTGTTAATGTTGGTCTCTTTTTCTGTTTGTGATAAGAATTTGTGACATTTCATTTTCTGATGATACGTACATGTATCTTAATTTCTGACAAATATTTAAAATCACGAAGAAATACTCAGTGTGGTTAAATTACATAGGATGGAAAAAAATGATGAAAAAAATGTAAAATGTAATTGGATATGATGTTTATCATCTGTAAAGTTAATTATATTGTGTGAATTAATCTTGGAGCCTTTGGAGACACCATCTTTTTATCACAAATTTCATGGGCGGATCTGTTTGAAGGAGACTAACTCGAGAATGGCTATTGCTACCAAAGAGAGATAACTGTAATTCATATCTATTTATCTTTAGTCATTGTCGAAAATCTGGATAGCTTATAAAATAAAAAAAATATTTTGTGCTTTGATTTTTCATGAAAATCACAACTAGAGAGCGACAGTTTGGAGACAAATCCACTAGTGTACTTGTTTTGAGTAGTATTGGTGCAAAAAGAATAGTCCCCATCCCGTACCTCAGAGAATAAAGCAAAATATGTGTCCCATATTTGTGTGGGAAAAAGTCCAATGAATTTTCCATAAATAAATATCATGAATAATTAGCACCAGTCTTGTAGAGGGGTGGCTACCACTTGTAGGGTACAAATTTCATTTAGTACAATTCTCTTCTGCTTGAGCTTTCAGTAAGGCGACATTCTCGGCAATACATAATTAGCATCTCTCAAATGGTGACTTAAATTCTCATTGGTTGCTAGATTAGCTCATCAATACTGAAATTTACACAGCTTTTCACTTACGGGTGAAATATGGGAGTAAAATCGGCCAGACGTCAACGAGTGAAGCAAGGAACCAATGACACCATTTTTTGCATTAAAGAGATGTGGCTTATGTCATCTCATCGTTTGTCAACAACAATCATAAGTTGCTAATGTTATTAATTTCTTAACCAATGAGAATGTAGGTCACGATTTGAGAAACGCTAAATATGTATCGCCGAGAATGTCACGCCTTACTGAAAGTTCAAGCAGAAAAAGAATTGTACTAACTTTAAAACCGTACATACAATGTAGTGCATAAGGGGTGGAGTTTAAGCTTTAATATTTTGCGCTGAATGAACACCATGATAATATTGAAAATACTAAAACTATTTACTATTAAAGAAGATCAAGGTGGTGTTTATTTATCTTTTTGGAGTGTTACATTTTATTATTGTTAATATAACAGTAAATATATGAACCCTATAGAAAAATAAAATGTTACCAGCTTATACATTTTGAAACTTTTATAAACTATGTAAGCGACGTCCCAAATGTAGGTCACAGTAAAATTGTATGGTTAGTCATGATCAGTAATCATTAATCATGATCAGTAATCATGATCAGTAATCATACGATCATCATCAAATTTTTGTCAGTTGGCCCATCTTGGGACGCTGGTATTTCAGAACTTTTGGGACTGTATTGCCAACTTCTGTCAAGTCCTCTTGGATATGAATGAGAAGAATTCACAATTCACATGTCTTCAAAGAAATTGTTATTTTAAACTTAGATTTAAAAATCATTTTATGTTTTTTTTTTTTTTTTAAATAAAACTTTATTGAAACTTTTACAGAGACAACACTACATTTATTAATTTTAAAGTCAGAATAAAAACAGATTTTCTTTCCTATATTACAATAAATGACTACATGAACCAGGATGGAGTATACAATGCATGTATCTTAGCTCTTCTGCTTTGTAGTATTAAAAGTGAACAAAGAAACAGTCGCATTTTATCATTTTATATCATCTTAAATATATTAAATTATTATGCTTTTTTATATTATTTAGCAATTATATTTTATCGTTGACAATAAGAACCGTGAAATTTTGTCTAGACACCAGAGCTGAAAGGACCACCTTATTAAAAGTATATTATTAAAAGTATATAAGAACTGTGAAAAGTAAAATGCAAAATTGTAACAATGGGGCCATCTTTTAAAAAAAAAAGTTTGCTTGCCCTCTCCCGACCGACTTGCTAAAAATGACCCGACTCAAAACTTTTTTAATCTCCAGGAAGAAAAAGTGGTTGTGTTTGGGAGTCAGGTAGCAGAGGTAAGGAATATACATGTACGTATGTGTAATAGACAAGATATATTTCAGTATCTCATTCATTCTACAGTTAGAATGCACGTGGTCCAGACAGTCACGTGACCTGCTTCGCAGCGTACTGTTCACAGCAGCCCAAACTTTTCTTGGGTCTTATATTTCTTCCCACCCAGATTATTTTTTCTAAAAAAAATTACCAGTTCATTACAAACTGCCCCATCTCGTCTATACATGTAGAATGGCTGGATTATAATTTCTTTTAATAGTATGAGTATGGTGCCGTCCTTAACAACCTGCCTCCCATCTTTGGTGTGTCATGTATTCAGTGTGGATCAAGTATGGGTGTTTTCTCTTTATCATATCTGATCTATTAAAGGTCGAAATTAGTTGAAATTTTAGGGGATTATTTAGAAACTATTTTATTGTTGAAATTTTCAACTATTTATCTAACTGTGGCTCGGCAATCTTTCATTACAAATTATTCAACTAAGAACACATCTCTTTCCCAACTGACTTTCAATGGGCACCTAGAACGAACATCATTTTTTAACCATCTCCCTACCGTACTTTCACTTAAGCAATCCATCCACTTACTAATTGAATTTTTGGCAAGTCCTTTGTCACCATAAACTTTATATACAAATCATGTATTAATGCAAAAGATTTTCAAGATTTACGTCCAGGTTTTTTCACATCATTGACAGCTGCTTTTTCAATAAAAATGGAACTCGTGAATTTACTTACCTTGTCATTGGTCATTTGCAAAATTATTTTGTTAAAAAACTTTCTGATTGTACACACAAGTACCCTGAAGTTGATATTAAAAGATGCTTGAGTTTTTGATTGACAATATCATTCATATGTCGACACGATAAATCCCAATGAGCTTGAAATAAAAAAAAAAACACCACAGCGTCTAACACATCTGCTTCATATTTGGATATTTTACTAGAAAAAGACGTTATATATAATTGTAATCTTACAACAAAGCTTTATGATAAACATGATGACTTCAAACTGCCCTTAGTTATGCAACAATATACCCTTATCACCTACATATGGGGTATATATCTCTGTTGATCCGATACGCAAGAACATGCTCTATGAACAATTTCTAAAACGAGGTAAGTTATTGACAAACTAGTTGATGAAACAAGAATATGAACAGCCTCGTTTAAAGTCATCATTTCGTAAGTTTTATGGTCGATACAATGACCTTGTCAGCAAATACAATCTATCATTGAGTCAAATGCTTACTGACATTAA